ACTGGTAACGCGGATTCGGTGGCAATTTGGCGGCGGGTACGCCGAATCCACAGGAACGGCGGGCGTCCCGCAGGCATGCTGCCGAATCCGCGGGACTGGGGACCTCCCGCAGGCCCGCTGCCAAAGGCAGCCTGCCTGCCGTGCTTGGGGCAGCAAAAAAGCTAGAGCCGCCCCTTGTAGGCCCTATATAAACAAGCCTGCGGTGCACCTCTGCAAGGAAAATTAAAGGCTAGATTGTAGCTTTAGGCTCAGCCCTGAGCAAGGGCTGGCATTTAAGCTGCCTCCTTTCCCTACCCCCGGAGTAGCTGTGTGAGGAACAAACCCCTTCCCCCTTGCTCTGAGTGTGTAATAATTTGCTACTGGCCTATATCCACAGCAAGTTCCAGTGAGCCCCAGGACAGCTCAGCTGTGCTGGCTGGCACGTTGAAGGGGGAAGCCAAAGATCCACCTGCCCACTCCCCCACACCTGCTCCCCTGGGGTGGGTGGGGTGAGCCGGCGCTATGCACCCAAACCCAAGGTCCAAAGAGCCATCACAGGGCTGGCAGACGAAGGAGGTCTGACTCCCCCTTAGTGCCCTGCAGGGGTGTCACGTTAACTGTTGAATATTGACTCCTTTAAATGGGCAACGGAACTTCACGTTCCTCTGATTGTTCCAGGCCAGGCTGGACGTTTCCAAACACACCTTTCTGTGGTGAGTGTGAAGTCACCTTCCCAGCGGCTGATCCGGGCTGGGGGAGGCCAGTGGTATTACAAGCAGGCTCCAGGTTCCACCAGGGCTGCCCGATACACAGAGAGCTGCTTGTTGCTGACTGTGGGAGTCCCAGGCAGAGAGCCACATTGGGAAGACATCGAGAGGCAGTCGGGGTTACGGGGTGAGAGGTGCCACAGCTCTTCCCTGGGTTGGGTTGCACCCCAGAATGTGCGTCACAATGGGCAGACAGTCCTAGTCACAATCTAGCCCAGAATCCCTCTGTCTCAATTTAGGAGAGATGGCTCAGTGGTTAAGGCATTAGCCTGAAACTTAGGTTCAATGCCCTGCTCTGCCACAGACATCTTGGGTGGCCTTGGGACAGTCACTTTGTCTCTCTACGCTGCAGTTCCCCATCTGTACAATGGGGACACTAGCACTGCCCTGCCTCACAGGGGAAGATAAATAAAGATTGTGAGGTACTCAGATGCCCCAGGAATGGGGGCTTGATACATAACAGAGACAGGCAGACAATCCCCATACTAGGTAGGGAAAACGGCACCCCTTTTAGAGAGGGGGAAACCGAGGCACGGGGTAGTTATGTGACATTGCCAAGGCCACAGAGAAAGTCGGTGGCGGAGCTGAAAATAGAACTGAAGACTCCCAAGGCCCAGCTGTTAAAAAACACCAACAAAAGAACCCTTGTAGGGGTCTGTTTGATATGGGGCGAGGGTCCTTTTAAGGATTTGCACATCAGGCTAAGAAAAGTGGCCGGATCGAGGCCTGTTTTTGCTTAAAATGTTTTTAACCCAACAGTGCTCTGGCCAGGGTTAGGGCCCGGCTCCCCAATCGGAGGGAGTAGACACTGCCTGGCTGCATAAACCTTACTAACCCTGTCCCCTCTCTCTGTCTCCCCCTTTCCGTGGTTTTTGTCCTGCTCAGATTCCTTCCACCGTTCGCTGTATCCACAGTGACAAGATCCTGGCGTTCCAGCAGCAAACCCAGTTCCTGTGGGAAGCATATTTCTCCTCCGTGGAGAAAATAGTGCAAACCACCCTTGAGGTGAGCCACAAACTTCTGGTATCTCTCCCACAGCAGCTCCCTCAGTGACCTTTCCACATAGTTTGGTTGTTTTGAAACAGGCTGCTTGCAGCAGCAACAACAGCTGGGACCCACAAGAGCCGGGTGGTGGAAAATCCCACCCGGTCGCCATCCCGTAGGGGGTGAAAGCTGATCAAGGGAGAGGGACTGGTACCGGCTCAGTGCGTAGACTGATGGGAAATGGATAGCTACTGCAGTGCCAGCCACTAGGGGGCACTGTAGGGGATGGGGCAGGAGTGCTGGTTGTGGGGGGCTGCCTAGCTACTCCAGTCCCAGCCTCTCCCAGCAGGGGGCGCTGTAGGGAATGGGGTGCTGGCTGATGGGCTTGCCTCGCTATGCAAGAGGAGCGTATGCCAGGTGCCTGCGTCAGCCTCATTGGGCAATATTTTTGTGGACTTTTCTGCACAGGGCTGGGAAAGGCTCAGAGCTCTGGTCCGTGTGTTAGCAGCTGGGATCGGAGAGGAAGATGAATTTGTTCAGCTAAGTGGAAGGGGACAATAACAGATGTTGCCCACGGACCTGTTGCTTTCTGGCTTCAGGGCAATTCAAATCCCTACTGTCGCCACTCTGGGCACTCGAACTCACATGTTCCTGAGTAGCTCAATGGAAAGAAAAGACTTTAACTGGAAGCGATAAGCAGGATGCCTTGTCTACAGGAAGCCAGCTGCCGCATAGCATCTAGCGGGGGCTTCCCAACTCTGCCCCGTGTTTGGCTTCTAACCCAGTTTCTCCCTGGAGTAGAACATGAGCATTTGTGTTTTATACACCACTCTCCTCCTTTAAGGCATCACTGGGTGGCAGTGGATAAGCCAGTAAAGAAATAGGTTCTCTAGCTCATTCTGTACCAAGCTACCTCTCTGCCTTTACCCTGTTCTCCTCCCCTGGAGACCACAGGTTCAAATCCCACCCCGCTCCGTTATGACCAACATTTACCATCGGGTGGCTCTTCAGTGGCACACGTGACGTGAGCATGGGGGGGTTCTCAGCACAGCTCCCAGTGGACAGGTTTCCACACCAGAGAGACCATCCCCAAAACTGATGACCTCAGCAAGGCCAGGAGCTCGAGCAGACCCAGGACCAAAGTCATCCTCCGTGTAACTCCACTGCAATCCACGATGTTGCACCAGGGATGAATTTGGAATCCTGGTGCTCACTTATCTATCACAACAAGCCTCTGACACACTGGCAGGGCAGGGCGGGGGAAGCTTGGCCTGCCTCTGCCCTGTGGTGAGGCAACTGGTGGGCTGCGACCACTGGCCAACATCATCTTATTGTTTCCTTGAACTGTGCTGAGCTCCCTCATCTCCGTCTTTCTCCACCTGTTGTCTCTGATCTTACTGTGAGCTCTTTGGGGCAGGGGATATTTTTCGTTCTGTTTGTACAGCGCCTAGCACACCAGGGTCCTGGGGCTCCTGGGTGCGACCACAGCACAATTCATAAATATCATAATCATAGTAACAATAATAACTAACAGAGGCCTTCAGGCCCCAGGGCCATCTATGCCGCCCCTCTGCCGAGTGTTAACTTCACACACAGCAAAGCTGTCAGGCTGCGAGTCTTTCGACTGGCATTTCCCCTTTGGGAGCAAGATCTGGACTCATCGATATCTTTAACACAAAGCCTCCCATTGGAAAGGAGAGCTGCAGGATCGTGTCACGATCCAGGGCTCACCCCCCGACGATAAACAGAACAGAGTTTGATATCTATCCGCCAATGTCATTTCTGGACGGCCTGCCAGCCTGGGCCGCAGGGAGGCTGCTTCTCCCTGTTATTCCGGTTGGGTCGGAAGAAGGACGTGCCAGGAAGTCTGGTTTGTGCCGTTTCCAGCCCTGTTGTTGCAGATCAGCAAGGCTGCGATCGTTCAAAGCAGCACGGTTGGCCGCTCATCCAAACCAAATGCCTCGACCTTCTGAGGTTTGCTCAGTGTTATAAATAGGGAGCGAGCTCCCGGGCCAGATTTTGTACCCGTGGGGAGGTGCCCCAGCATGAGCAAAGCGCTCAGCATCTGGATACAAAGTGCCCTGAGCTCCTGGGGGGCTGGTTCATCTCAGGATAGCTGGCCAGTTCTAGAGCTGGGGACTTGGTTTCAGCCCATCTCCTGGTTACGCGTTTGGGCCTGGATTCTGCTCCCACTCACTGGTGTAAATCAGGAGGAACGCCACTGAAGTCAGTGCAGTTACCCTGGGGTAAAGCTGGTGCGGCAAGGGAATCAGGAAGTTATGCATTGACCGCCGTACAGTAGAAGCAGGAGCCCGCCACCTCCCCCCAACTTTCAGGCTGAGGGATGGTTTCGGATGGAAGCCATGCAAAATTCAGTGACCAAGTGGGGCAAAACGTGGTGGATTTGAATCGGTTTCATGCTGATTTGAACCTCAGAGCAAAAACTCAGGGGGATGATCCCTCCCTCTCCAAATCAGCCTCCCGGCCCCCCAACTCTGCACCACTGCCAGGTCCTGCCGTGCCGTCCGGGGCTCAGCAGAGCGCAGCACACTCTGTGTTTGGGGGAGGCGGGGGGGCCTGGCTTGCATTGTCCCAGCCCCACGTTTGCAATTGGATGTCGTCTCCTCTGCGCAGCACTGCTGGATTGATGAGCCTGCTTGCGAGGGTGACGAAAGCCGTCTCTATCTCCCCGCAGATAATAAAGGATCGGCTGTTTCATCGAGAATCCCGCCCCAAGTTCGTGTGGAACACGCTGCCTGGGGGGCTGCTGGCTCTGCCGGAGTATTCCACCCACCTCGGCGACTTCCCTTTCTACCACCTGCAGCACGGTAGGAACCGCTCCCCCCGCCCACCCCTGGACGTGCCCTGGCGCGTCCCTCGGGAACCCCTGACTGACCCGCTCTCTCCCTTTGCAGGGTCCAGCCCCTCCGGCAAGTTCACAGCTTTCATCCGGGCCGTCTCCCCCGTGGTCTCCCTCTCCCAGCCCATCCTCAAACTCATCCAGGCCGTCTCCAGATCCCAGCACTGCGCCCAGGTCAGGGGCAAAGGTTAACTCCCCCCCCCGGGCTCCCAGGTTCTAGCGCTGAGGAAGAGAAGGCGAGGGCCCCTACTGTTTTGTTCTTCCTGTTAGACCTAGAGACAGGCCCGAACCAGATACCCCCGGGCTTTGGGAACATTTGGGTGGGATCTGAACCCGTCTCCCATTGAAATGACTGGAAAGGTCCCCGCCGACTCCAGCAGGCATTGGGTCTGGGGCCTTGGTGCTTTAGCCCCACCTCTGACACTGGCAGATAGAGACCTGGAAAGGACCTGGTTGGTCAGCGGAGGTGCTGAGCCCCGCCCCCGAAAACTTCCACCAGAAAGTCAACCCCAGCTGCTCCATTCGCCCCGCTGGAGCAATGCTAATTTACACCCACTGAGGATCTGGCCCCACTGATTTGAATGGAGCGATGCTGAATCACCCCATGTGGGGATCTGACCCACTCACAGCTATGGCGTGACCCTGATTTATGCCAGCTGGGGGCTTTGGGCCCATTGACTCCGATGGAGTGACACCAGCCATGGAGCTGGCCTGGTGGGATTTGCAGATGTTCAGCACCTCTGGAAATCAGATGCAGAGGGTTTATTTGGGGCAAAGGGATGGGAGAGGGGAGAGTTTTATGTACCTCAATCAACCACCCTCTTTAACTAGACCTCGTCCCACGCCCGCAGCCCCGGGCAGGCGCGTCAGCCTTGGCAGGATGATTTTTAATTTCGAGCTGGGAGAGCGCTTCCAGGCCCCAATTAGAAGCTATTTACATAGCAAGTAGAAGTTAAAAGCAGCCACAGGTGAGCGGTTGGGCCCCTAGCGACGCCCAGGTTTGTTTGATTAAAGCGCGGGTGGTGGCTCGGTGCCAGGCTCGAACTTTCCAGCTGGGTGAGAGGACTGGAAGACTGTGGGTTTGGGGCACACCCTCTGCCCTCCCAGACACACAGAGCCACCTCCATGCGCTGACCGAGGCGCCCTCGGGTTTGGTTTTAGATCCTAGTCCTGTGGAGCTGCGAGAAGCCGCCCCCGCCGAGGGGGAGATGGCCCCAGACAGCAGTGCCTTTGACAGTCATTCACGGCCGGCGGAAAGTAAGCGGGCGTCGGGTCGGTTTGTTTGTGGGCCTCCGTTGGCGGGACAGGGAGGGCTGTGAACGGGCTGTGCACCCCCAGTGCACGGTGGGGCTGCCGCTGGCCGCTCTGGGGCAGCCCGGCCCTCCCCAAGGGCCAGGGGAAAGCACGGCCGAAGAACCGCAGCGCGGATTTGTGCGTCAGGGAGTGGCTCAGCGGTGGCCCAGCCAGGACTCAGCGGCAGGTGCCCGCTGCTCTGCACTAGCCTGCGGTCTCCAGGAGATGGGGAAGGGGCGGAGGGGCTCTGGCCCCCTCCCTGACCCTGCTGTTCCCTCTTGCTCAAGGTAAGCGACCGTTTCTTCCCGTACTCGGCCATCGGGACAGATGCGGTGCTGAGCCTGGATGAACACACCAGCCTGTCGACCAGCGAGGTGAGGGGATGGGCGGGGGGCTGGTGGGACGCAGCGAACTAGATAAAGACGCCTCATGGGAGAGCAGGAGCTCAAGGGGCTTCACAAGCTGTCCACGGATTAGCCACTAGGCCAACAGGGACGATCCCTAGGGGCTCCGGCCAATTGGGGGGCCCTGGAAAAATGGGCACCCCCGTGCCCTGACCCACTCTGCCCCCCCGGTGTTCCTGCCCTGCCCCACTCTGCCAGCCCACCCAGTGCTCTGACCTCACTCTCCGGCAGGAGCGCAGGACAGGGGTGGGGGGACTGCAGGTGGAATGGGGGAAAGGGGCCCCCACTTGTCCTGGCCCCAGGGCCCCCCGAAAACTATAATCCGCCTCTGCACACAGAGCACCATGGAATGTGCAGCCACCTCTCGGGTGGAACGTGGCAGCTGTTTAACAGGGCGCAGCAACTCTACAGATCATGTGATGTGCCGAGTGCCCTCAACTCCCAGGGCCTTCTAAAGCAGGCTCACCATCGCAGGATCAGGCCCCAGTTGAGGGCAGGAGGGGCAAATAAACTATGGGGGAATTGAGATAGACCCTGTAATAATAATCAAGCTAGAATTTGGCCAGGACTTTGGGGTTAATACTCACCTCTTACAAAAAGTGCCCCCGGCCCTGAACAACCAGCATCTCCCCAGCACAGCACCCCATGCCAGGTCATTGGCACTTCCCACACTAGGGCACCAGATCTCCCGGGCTAACCAGGGCTGGGCTGGGCGAGTACTTGAATAAGAGACCTCCAGGAAAAACCCAGATGGCAGCATGCCACCTCCTGAATCACCCACGCCTCTCGCTGAGACACCTGGCTGGGCCCGGCAGGCCCTTCGCCCAAGTACGCGCCCGGCCCAAGGGCGCTTACCGCGTGCAATGCGGCAGGCTCACGTGGCAGCAGGCAGCCTGGCCTGCACGCCAAGGACTGAGGCATTGCGTTTCTGCTCTTAGCTGGTTGGGGTGTGGCTTGGGGTAGAGGAGCCATGTTCTCAAAAGGAGTGGGGAGGTGCAGGTTGCTTGGCGCAAGGCGTCGAGGCTTGGAGAGGTACAGAGGGCATTTTGAAGAGGTGTCTGATCTTCGCAGAGAATAGCAATGATGGTAAAGACCTAGTGGGTCAAATCCAGACCGCCTCTGTCCCAGCCAGGGTAGCTCTGCTCTCCACAGTGTTCTCCTCCAAATGATGGAGGCATTTGATTCTGGATCTGCTGCTTATCGGCCCTGCCCTGGTGGTGAACTCTCCCTGTCTGGCTCCCCAGGTTGACTTTGCCTTTGTGGTGTGGAGGAGTTTCCCTGACCGCATTGTTGGGTTCCCCATGCGGAGTCACTTCTGGGATTCCAGCCAGAGCCAGTGGGGTTACACCTCCAAGTGGACCAACGAGTTCTCCATGGTTCTCACCGCAGCTGCGTTCTATCACAGGTAAAGCACCTTCTCCAGAACTTCCGGCCTGAGGGTCCCAGGCAGAGTGAACGCTGGAGGGCTCTGTTCTTCCACCCAAAAGCTCCACTGGAAGATGAATTAACTCGAAGCCACCCAGTGGTAGGAACAGTCGATAGCCCAGACATGGAGGCTTCGGTCATAACAGGCCTGGAGTTAGATAGAGGATCTCAAAGCACTTACCCTGGACTGGGATGGTGGCTGCCTTTGCTGTATCTGTGCAGTGTCCGGGACAACGGGACCCAGCCTGGCCGTGTGCTAGAAGTGGTCCTGCAATGTAATCGAACCCCATGCCCTGGGAAGGAGCTCACTAGAGCTAACCTCCTTTTGAAGACAAGGACAGTGAAGCTCAGGGAGACCTCGGCCAAGCTTTTGAAAAAGAGGAGGCTAAAGGTAGCTCCCTAAATCCATACGCAGGAACCTAAATAAGTGGCTTGGGTGCAAGGAATGCCGAGCACCCAGCGCCGTGCATCCAGGAGCGCTACGACTGGCGCCCGTTTTAGAAAGTCGCGGCCTGAGTGTCGAGGGCGGGAGGAGAACGCAGGTCTCCTGCCTTCGGCTCACAAAGACCAGCTTCATCTGTGCCACGGATGGAGCTGCCGAGCCAGGCGGCTGGTACATTAGCCTGAGCATCCGTGGCTGGGGAAAATCCTGGCCGTGGCAGGCCTCTGGAATAGAGGAGAGGCGAGGGACACAGAGCGAGGACAGGGCCTGTCTCCTCCCCCGCCTGTGCCGCCCCATGGAAGGAGAGGGCCGTTGTGAGTTGCATTGGGGCTGTAGGAAGCCTTTGGCCCATGGGATATGCTCTGGCCACCCCCAGCCCTGGGGAACGGGATGGTCCCTCAGTGGCTCATGCTCTTTGAGACCCCCCCACCGCAGATATTATCACAGTCTCTGCCTTGCTTCCCCCACTCCCCCAGGTATTATCACAGTCTCTTCACCAATTCCCTGCCTGCCGGCCTGAGGAGCCTGATTGATCAGCTCTCCAACTGTGAAGACATCCTGATGAACTTCCTCGTGTCTGCCGTCACCAAGCTACCTCCCATCAAAGTGACCCAGAAGAAGCAGCACCAGGAGGCGGCCCCCCAGCAGGTAGGGAGTTGAGAGACTGAGACACGAGCATACCAGGCATGGGGGGCGGGAGGAGGAGTATAGACTCCTTGAAGTTAGGGTCCTCTTGGGCCCCCTTGGACAATGCGGATGGGTCCTGCTGCCTGGGCCCTGGTGCCCTGCCCTATTCAGTCCTTCATGACTTAAGCAACGGAGCTGCCCTGTCCCCGAGGGAAGCCGTCCCGCACCAAGGTAGATCTCACCACTAGGCAATGTTTCCCCAATAGCCTAAAACACCCAGGCCTTACCTATTAACCTCTTGCTGCTCAGAGCTATATGCCCAGGGGCCACCCTAAATATTTCCTTTACATCCTCAGGGCTTACCCCGTCCCAGCACCCGCAGAGAGCGCCGTCTGCTTCCCACCCTGCCTCCTAGCCAACTCCCTTCAGAGCCCTATCCTGCGCAGCATCGCTCCGGCCCCCGGGCTGCAGCCGCGTGGGGGCAGAGCACAGGGCTGGCGGTAGGCAGGTTGTGTGTATCCCAGCTCAGCTCAGAGACTGCTGTGCCGTGTAGGGCAGAGGGAGGGGGAAGGAACCGGAGACGGGCAGTTCCCTCAGGACAAGACAGCAAAATAAAAGACCGATACTTACCAGATGGGCGGGAGGCGCAGATTGTAACTGTTAGGTGCAAAATGTTCTCCCTAGAGCGGCAGCAACTTGTCTCTCCCTGATTTAAAGGGCCAGCTTCAGGAAAGGCATTCTGGGAAAGGCTCCTATCAGTGGGCGACCCCACAGGCCACTGCTTCTACTTTCCTCCGGGGCCTGGTCTTAGGCCACATCCCCTACAACGAACAACAGTAGCTGTTGCAACACGGCTCCCACAGGGGGTTCATTGCTCGGGGTGGGATCTCTCAGAGAGCTGGGGAGTGCCTGGTTCTCCGGCTTGTTCAAGGCCAACCTAGGATTTCGGTGGAGAAGGGAGAGCTGTGGAAACCCCCACCTCTCAGCTCTCCCTCTGATCTATCAGTCCCTTAGCTCCTGTACCCCCACTTTTCCTGTACTACCTCCGTCTGTAGTTTTGTTGGCTTCTCCTCTCCCTCCTTTGGGGCTTACTAATGAGCTGTTAGGTCAAATGCCTCTAATTTAGGGTCTGCTCCTGATCCCGCGGAAATCAATGGTAAAACCACCGTTTTCTTGGGAGCGGGACAAGTCCCTAAGCCTGTGCAATCGCCCTGAGCGCTCTCTTCTCCCCTTGCACTCCGTAGATGTCCAAGAGCGCGGCCGTCTCCAGCGGGAACCTGCACTTCTCCCAGCGCCAGGACTGCCTCAACCAGTTCGCAGCCTGGTTTGGATACATGCCGCTGGTGCATTCGCAGCTCCGCCTGGACCCCGTGCTGTTCAAGGACCAGGTGTCCGTGCTGCGCAAGAAGTACCGGCACTTAGAGAAACCCTAGCGCCGGGGAGACCACCGCGGAGCCCTTGAGAAGCAGAGCTGGAGAGGAGGCAGCCGCTGTGCGGGACGTTTTATTCCCATGCTCCTAGGATACCGGACTGAGCTGGAATTCCAGTGCTACAGACTTTAACGTTACTGATCTAGCCTTCGTTACAGCCACGCGAACTGGAATCCCGGTGCGGCCTGGGGCAACATTCCTTGCTTAGAGCTCCCTAATGCTGGGCTCTGAGCGGGATACACTCACGTTCACAGTAGCTGGCGAGATACTGGAAGGAATTTTGGTCTTTATTGGGTTTTACCAGTACAAATAAAGGTTTGAAGGAATGATGGGCTCTTCCATTTCTTGACCTGCCTTTGGAGTCTCAGCCTGTCTGCCTTAAGCAAAAGAGGCTGGTTTTGAATGTATATTCCACTGATTGTCCTGGTCGCAGCCACAATCCCAACTTCAACCCACCAGAGATGCAGGAGCAAAAATAGGTTCTTGTGGAGGTGCGGGAACACAATCCAGGGATCGTCCCTCCCTCTGCTGCCACTAGGGGTCAGCACCTGTCTGGGATACTCACACTGGGGAGTTACTGTAATGTTTGCTCCCCTCGTAGGAGTTTGATCTTCCGTGAATCCAAACTCATTTCATCTGGAAAAGGCATCAAGGGTCTGTTTTACACCCATGCATTGAACAGCTCAGACGAGAATGAAACCCAGTCATCCTCCCATCAGCAGATAGAACTGTTTATTGTCCTCAGATAAAAATAACGGCGGGTCGAGTCTGCTGTGCCTCAGAACAACTCAGAATGTGCCACCAAAGGGCCAGGGAGATGTTTAGAAAATCCCTGTGTCTGCGACTAGCCTTGTCTACCTGTTCTTGCCAACCCACGAGGTCAAAAATCATGAGTCAGGCCCCCAAAATTACAAGATAGGCTTAAAAATCATGAGATGTAAAAAGTAGTAAATGGCGCGTTTTTTTTTCTTGGCCTTGGGATGATGGAACATTTTGGGGTCACATTTTTCCAGCTTTTCGCTGCAACCAGGAGAGCTAAAAACTTACTGTTTTATTCCCAGTGAAAGCCAAGAGTCTCACATAATCACCTGACTCCAGGAGCTGGGGCTTTAAGACAAACATCATGTGATTTCTGATTAAACTCGCCAGGGTTGGCAAGAATGGCTACCAGGCATGTTCTACTCAACACAGTGTCACTAGCGTTAGGCTCGTGGGGTTAACTCACCCTGCACAGCAATCGTGCACTCAAGAGGGACGTTATTGTTCTTCCCGATGGAAACCTAGCTCAGGCTCTTGGCGGGGCAAAGCAATTACCTCCAAGCCTGTATCGTTTCTACGTGTTCCCCTAAAACGTCTCATAGCATCTAGGGTGACCAGGCAGCAAGTGTGAAAAATCAGGGCAGGGGTAATAGGAGCCTATATAAGAAATAGACCCAAAAATCGGGACTGTCCCTATAAAATTGGGACAGCTGGTCACCCTAATAGCATTGTTCTGTATTAAGCAAAGGATGGAAGTACTGCAAGCAGTGCACTGGGAACCAGGACACCTGGGTTCTACTTCCAGATGGAGCAGGGAAAGCTGTTGAGTAACCAGAGCAGGGAACGGAGCAGCAGAACGCCTGGGTTCTCGGATTCACTTTGGCCCAGCTCCTCGCAGCATTCAGGTCCCCACATACCTTTGCGGCTTTGGCCTCGGTGATTAAGAGGGCTCACTAATTACGGGGGCCCCGTTTGAGACTCCTCGGGCTGGATTCTCACCTTGTGTCGAGCACCCCAAATCCTGTCGAACTGAAGTAGGGCCTGATCTGCAGCGCCCGCTGCTCTCGTGTTACACGTTGGGTGCTTGGCAAATGGACACGCAGTTAGCAGTTGCTTTGGAGAACGTAGGCCTGGGCTGCCCCGTGCCTCAGTTTCCCATTAGTAAAACAGCTACTCTGCCCTAGCTAGACTTCCTTACCTCAGAGCGGTGTTGTGGGGCCTGAAGTTTGTAAAGCACTTTGAAATCCTTGGCTCAAAGGAGCAAGTGTAACCCACACACCTTCTGGTGTGGTGTTCTGGCCCATCTAGTGGCACCGAGACCACTTAGAGAGAGAGAGTTAAATGAGTTTGCTCTACAGCCAGTTGGCTTTTAGCTCATGCAGTAGAGGCTCATGCACTAAGTTCCAGAGGTCCCCGGTTCGATCCCGCCTGCCGACAAACAGGGTCTGTCGGTGTTACACAAACACAAAGCATTAGCTCTGTTTGCTTTGTGTAGCCACGCAGGACTCACCCCTGTGGCGCCTCCTGCTAGTGTCCTGGGAATTAGCTTATTTTC